ATTATAGCCAATCTTACCCGTTTTCACAAAATGCAAGAATTAGGCCTCCCGTTTCCAGACGTTTCCAGAGAATTTTTACATGAGCATAAAAATATGTTCGATTTCCCGCAAAAGCACAAAAAACCGCTTGTAAATCTTGCATGCCGCTTTATATTAACACTTCCTGGTCCCGATTCTATTTCTGAACGTCTCCTGTTTACGTCCAATCAAATGAACTATTTTCAACGTTTCTGGAACGTTTACGATCGTTTTATAATCGAACCAATATTCAAATTGTATGTTTGAATTTAATTTGAACAAATTCAAACAAATTCGAACAAAACATTCGAAATAGAAAGCCACTTTCAACCACTTTCAGCCTCATATCTCCCGCACCCTTATAGCTATCGAGACGCAACCACCCCTATGCACGAATGGAGACTTGGGGCTACTACCACATACAAACACCATTCACGTGCGATGTGTAGTTTTGGCGAAAAAGTGAAATATAGGGACATAATTGTCCATTTTTTTATATATATATATATAGATTTTGAGTTTTAACCAAATGTTTGAACTGTTTTAAATTCAAATTTATTATTGCATATTGGTTCGGTTATAGAATGATTGTAAACGTTTCAGTAAACTGATAACCTGATGATGGCCTGTTGACCAGGTTGAAAAATTAGTTAAAATAGTAAAAATGATTCTCAGCAATAAGGTGTGTATGTTGTATAATATTCAATGAGTCTGAGTGTATGTTGAAGTTTATTTAAAAGAATTTCTTTATAAATATTTTAATGTTTTTATTATTGTATTTCAGATTTGAAAAAGAATTACAATTACCTCAACTTCCAGACATGACTTTTGCAAATAATAATCTTAGTATTAAACATAAAGATGGATTTGGTATTGAATTTAATTGTCTTGATGCTTTAAAACTGGTTGAAAGCAAACAAGATTTAATGAAAGTTGCAATTGCAGAGATATGGCAACAAGCAAGGTTAAATTTTATATTCAATAACTTTTTTAGTTAATAACTGTTCTTAAATACATTGTAATTGAAAAAAATATGAATTTTATGTAATAGCAAGTTATATTCTCTCTCGACACCAGCATTTTATATTTCAGGATTTATTGACATTATTTTAATATCTTTTAAATGTAATTATTATTTCAGTAATTTTTACATCTATACTAACTTTTTAAATTATCTGTTCAAATTATTTGTAAAATTTTCTTTTGTTAAGAATTAAATAAAAATACTTCTGATACTTAAATGTAACTTCTAAATAGAGTAAAAGTTTAGTGGAAAACTATTTGATTTTACAACACTTTACTTCAAGAGTTAAATAAAATAAAAATTTTAAATTAAAAATGCTTTTCATTAGAACATAATTGAGGAATAAATAATCATTATACTAAACTTTTTTTTTATTATTATTTAATTGTCACCTTCAATGCCATTGTTTTAATTGCTTTAAAGCACCTTCAACAATCCCCATTAAAATCCACAAACATTCATGTCTTAGTGTGACTTGAACCATACAATCTGGCAAATTAGAAACACTGCCTTAACACATTCACCTGTCAGGTAGGCTGTTTAAACTGTTTCAACATTGAAAAGTTGTGTAAAATTAATAATTTGTATGTACAGTACTTTATTAGTAGGCAGTATGTTAGAAATTTTTTTTTCAGCATTTTTAATAAATTTTTTCTTGAACTATTCTTTGTAAGCAATTAATTGATATATCAAAATTAATTAACTGTAATTTTTATCTAAACATATTTTTAGATAATAATATGCTTAGTAAAGTCTATCATATGCTAACTGTAACTGCAGTTCTTCCATTAGGGGCATATGTGCTATAGTTTTGCTAATTAATTAATGAAAATTGAATCTCATTTAAATGTATAAAAATTTGATAGAGTAAAATATTTAGTAATAAGTATAATAATAATTTGTTATATAAGGTTTTGTTTTGTTTATTATTGTTCATATTAGCCTAATATTCCTTTATATTTATTAAATAAATATTTTTAGAAGTGAATGCAAATATGCAAAAGATGTTGTCAAGCCATTTGACTGGACCTTTACTACAGATTACAAAGGAACATTATTATCAGATGGTAAATCACTCAGAGTAAGTATTTTATGTAATATGAAATTATCTAGCATTAGATTGGATTAGTGAGTATGAAGTCCAGATTAATTCTTAATCTGAACTTCATACTCACTAATCCAATTAATTCTTAATCTGGAGTTAAAATTTGAAATCTTGACTATGTAATTCTTGATTTGAATGCTGTTGATAAATATGATCACAATTGTCACAAATAATTGTGTTGATTGCATTAAAGATGATATTCAATACAAAAAAAGGTGAAGACAGAATGGGTAAAATTATTTGTCCAAATAAAAGTTCAAATTTTAGGATATTTCTGTAGTAATTATTTTGTAATATAGATAAATCTTTTATTCTTTTAAATTAAAATATTTTTAAATGAATACTCCACTAAATAATTTCAGTAGAGCAATGAATATTTCTTAATTATTGATGTATAAAATATTTTTAAGTAGTGATTAATATATACAGGCATACCCCAGGTTATAATCATCTCACAATAAAACAAACTGCAGACACAACCATAATATATTTCTACCCCATGATGATCTGACTTATGAGAAGTGGTATGACATTGGAGTCGCCAATTTTGATCAAACTCTGTGAGGTTATAGTGTATCTCCAACAACTGACATGTGCCAAGCAGTAAGGCACAATACTGAAAATTGCAAATCACTTAAAACCTTTAAAAATTCTGACATTTGTAGAGTGGTTGATGGCTCAGTAGGGTCATGCTGGTTTTATAATTTTGAGTTTGGTGTTTCAAATATTGGTGGAATTAATATAATTTTTGTTTTACATAAAGCTATAATTTTTACTTCTTGGTATTTTTAAATTTATTATATTGTCAGAGAGAAAAACTGATTTATTTTTATAAAACTACAAATGTGCAATAAACAGGGTAATAAAACAATAAAATCCATCTGTTTGAAGTAACAAGTCAATGTCAAAGCAATTAACAAATGCTACTTAACAATATTTTTTAAAAATAAAACTTTTTCTCTATTTTAATGTACAGTAGGTACTTACTCTGGCAACAAAGTCATTGTTTGACCTAAATGTGTGTATAATTGAATCTTTGTTTGCTAAAGAATGATAAGATGGTTTTGATATCTCGTACTAACATCAATAGCATAGAAATATGTTCTGCAGAAGAATCACTGCATGACAATATTACAAAATTTACGTATTGTGAAAGCATCCTTCAAAATCAAGATCAAATTGAGGGTTCTTTATCAATTTCAGAAGTTGTAAAGGAAGTAGAAAAAAAAAAAAAAACAGGTACTCTTATATTTTCCAATGTGATACAGTATGAATGTTTCTCCTCCAAATTAGTTGATGATGGAGAAGTGCTTTTAAACATTAATTAAGTTTGTTTTTTCAGTGGCATACATAAATGTTCTTATTGTAAAAATCTGCATTTATTCAATGCACACACTGCAGAAATGTTTATTGTTTCACATGCTTCTACGACAATTGTCATCCACAAAATTGTGCTCCTGGAAAGCAAACAGATTGAATAATGTTAATAAAAATGTCTTTTATTAACAAAACTGGCTTTGAATAACAATAATTTTGTTTAAATCTAATCCTGTTTCTAAATAAATTATAAATAAATGTTAATATGGATCCCATATGTATATGAATATTTAAAAATAATTCTTAAATAAATATAATAAATTTTAAAATACCAAGAATAAATTAAAAAGTATAATTGTGTAAAAAAAAAATAATTACATTTACACCACCAAGATTCAAAACACCAACCTCACAATTATGAAACTAGCACATCCCCACTGAGGAGCCACCAATCACTCTACAAATGATGGAACTTCTAAAGGTTTTAAGTGATTTGCAATTTTCAACCTCAATAATTTCCTTTAATTTTGAGTATTGTGTCTTACTGTTTGGCACATGTCCGTCATTGGGAATGCACTATAACCTCACCAAGTTTGATCAAAATCAGTGACCCCAACATCACGCCATCACTTGTTAGCTATCCCCACTGATACTTTATTGTTCCAAGTGTTGCAACCTGTGTCGGGTGTCCAGCAAAGAATAAACATTTCTGGATTTTAAGAAAATTTGATGAATCATCAATTTAATTATATTTTACATAGCTGATTTTATAACTGACAAACAAACAGTCTTATAATTTAATTAACAAGTCGTTTATAAAAACATTCCAGATGCTGAGCCTTGAGGACAGCCATTATTTATGGAACAGGTTTTTTTTAACAAAGTACTGTACAATTAAACTGAGCTGTTCTGTCTTTTAAGATTTCCTTATTCAAGTAGAATATATTTTATGGTACTTTGGTATTTCTGATAAGTTTTAAAATTAAAGGCTACCGGGCATTGTCAAATGCATCTTTGATATCTAGAAATATTAGACATCAGTCTCTTTTTTCCTTGCTGTAGAGGAGGGGTCACCAAACTTTTTTCACAGTTGGTCACATAACTGAGAGAATGACAAGCACAGGCCACATAACCATTTTGTTCAATATTGTATACTGAATACACAAAAAATAAAAAAAAACCAATATATTTATTTACCAATACACAAACATGATTACTGCAGTAAGCTCGTAATTGCTTTTCTTAGAAACTTTATTGCAGGTACTTACACAAAATGTGCTCTGATATCCAAAGTCTCAAGAAGTTGCTGAATTTTTCCTTTCACTGATTTTTCCTAAAAATTATATTACTGTCAAATGCAAAAATCATATTGGACCAATTTTGACATTTTTACTTACACTTATTTTAATTTTTTCTACATAGGAAGTTTAATTACAATCTATGATATTTTCAGATATATTTGTGAGATAAGCAGGGGGTCACAGCTGATTCCAGTGACCACTTATTCTACGTGGATTGCGAAATCAGAAATCTAACGTCAGTGAATGACTTCCTAAGATTTTAATGTAGATCAGGAGTTTGTAAGATCTCCTGGAGATTGTTTTCCTGACACCAATTAATCAATTTAATCAGTGGATTAACATGTGTAAACGAGGAATTTCAAGCTGGAGGGACGTAAGTACGTGGAGTGAACATAGGCATGGATTTCAGTCATTGAAAAGACCATATTTTTAAAATAACAAAACAAAATATTTAATGGAAGAAAAGTATTAACTAGGATTACAAAATACGAAGCTTCCTAACTCGAGAGAGAGAGAGTACAAAGGTTCGAAGGTTATACTACCTTAACAGGTTCTCAGATATCTTGTCTTTTACAATGCCTTTTCTTTGGGATTTCAAGCAAAGTTTCTTGTCATCTTCTTAGATAAGAACATTGATGGTGCTTAGGTAATAAGAGTTTTTACTTGTAGAGATGTTGATGGACTCTTCTAAGATTCGAGGTGTTGGCCTTTTGGAGACTCAACTGGAATACATCTTGTTACATCGGGAAGGTTCGTCGCACTCTTGATTATGGGAGTAACTTTTGGAGACTCAATGGGAATACGTCCTCCTACATTGAGAAGTTTTGGCGCACTCCTTGAACAATGGAAAAGAATCTCATTTTTTGTCGATTTCCTCTAATTAGTGTGTAGAATTTTTCCACGTGAACAGGATGAGTGAGGAATTTTAGAGGGGTTGACTTTCAGTTTGGTGACTAAATTTCTAAAGATAAGGTAAAAAAAGAAAGTATGTTCAACTTCCATTGGTGAGGAAGTTATTTTTTGGGTTGTGAAAATAAAGCTTTTTCATCAAAATTATAAAATATTACTCTTGATATTATTATTTCAGTTAAAATTGATTTAAACAAAAAAGGGGAGCATTCGAATTCCCACATATTATTACATTTAAACTCATTTGTGGCACAGTGCCGTGGCAGGCCAGATGAACTGACCTCAAGGGCCAGATCTGGCCCATGGGCCGTAGTTTGGTGACCCCTACAGTAAAGTATCACACAATTTAACAAGGAACACTTTGCGGAATGCTGGAATATGAAATCATATTTGTCATTGCTCAAAAACTGTCCATGAGATGAAACTTTCTTCTTTAATAATACTAACTAAAAAACAATATATGAAAAATGGCAATTCACAATACAACTATTCATGGTAAAACTTCTGTTTGATGGAATGCATTATGTATGTAACATGGGTATGCCTGTAAATATTTAGCAATATTAATATTACAGTAATAGAATATAATATAAAGTGAAAATTTACAATATCAAATAAAATATATTTTTATTCAGATATCAGAAACATCAGAAAGAATTGATTTAGAAAAATTGAAAGTAAAAGAGAAAATTATGTTTTATGATGATATCCATCTGTTTGAGGATGAACTTGCAGATAATGGATGTGCACAATGTTCCGTTAAAGTTGTAAGAAATTTTTCAATATCTTTAGCTATAAATACTAATACTAAATTACTAATGAATATTATTTTAAAACAAATTAATAAAAGTATTAGTTTTGGATTTGAAATACATATACTTCATATTGTATATAAATATTGTAAATGTAATATAAATTGAAATACCGTATATTCTTAGATTACACTAAATTTGATTAAAATGAAAAACTTAAAAGTTGAACTCTTGTATAAAAGAATATTAAAATTAATTAGTTTAAATCAGGGGTGTCCGCATGCAGCCTGCAGGCC